CATCATGCACTCCATTTTGAGTGCGGCTGGACCATATTTTGGGGTCAACAGCCCCAGGCCCGCCGGAACAGCCAGGTTTTAATGGCTTTACCATTAAATAGAGTGGGAAGGGTCCGGATCTCTGCAGGAAGATCATTCCACAGGGCTGGGGCAGCTACAGAGAAAGACCTCCCCCGGGTAGTCGCCAACCGGCATTGTCCGGTCGACGGTACCCGAAGGAGGCCCAATCTGTGCGATCTAAGTCTCAAGACTCTTTTATTTATTAAGATTAAGAATTTGGCTTCACAAAAGGCTCACAGGTGTTCTTAGAAAATTAAAATGGTGCATGACTGTAGTTCAACACTTGGAAACACTGTACACTGACCTGCTTTGAAGAAAACAGGAAAGGCACGTTCTAGAAGACTAGAGAGCACAGTAAGCAGTAACTCATTTTATTTTTGTATAAATTGTGCTTTGATTGGCTAGGATCATTGTAACAGCCATGTTGTTCATACAGAAGCCTCCCAGTCAGGACAACCAGTAAAAGAACTCACAATATGCTCCCAATATTCAAAACGTGCTCATTGCTCCAGGAAAGTTGTCTACTTCTGTCATAAAAATTATTCCAGCAATTTGATATAGCTAAACTAGCAAAAGATCACATTCTAAGCCTTTTCCTTTAAAAAACTGGAAAGGGAAGGGAAGTCACAACACAGAATTGTTCTCTGATCATAGGTATTCCATTCCATTCAAAAGCTTCTCTCTTTTTTCTGAATCAGTTCCAATAGAGTTTCTCTCCCCCACCCTCACCTGATAGAAGGGGCTTGATCTGCTTGATTCGAGCTGCCATGGCTGGGGTTATTTTTGACTTCCCCTTTGGATCAGAAGAACTAGGCTCATCAGTTTCCATTGGTGCCAGGGTGTCACCATCTAGGCCAATTCCTTCTAGCAGGCCTTGGGCAGAAGCCTCCATGGTTCCAGCTCCCACTGTTTCTGGTTCACCATCTGCAAAAAGCAATGCTGATAAATTATCCTTTCAAAGATCCTTCTGCCAGCCCATTTCCCACAATTTCACTTAGGAGGACCTAAACTGTTTGTTAATTCAGATACCAATAGAACCTAATGGAATCACCAGTACAAGCATGGAACATCTTTAGAAGCTGCAAAACGGTAACCCCATACAATGAAAACAGGCTAAGTGTGGTGTTTGAGAGAGCAGAAAAGCAAAACTGTATGCACCACCAAGAGACCAAGGCGGGAGCATTCACTTCAAATGAACTGTCAAACTCTCCCAGAACACCTCATTAAATGATAGTTTCCCATCAACAGATAGTTTCCCATTGAAAAAAAAATGTTATGTGCAAATGTAGCCTCTTAACAAAAGAGTCAATCTTGTCTGATAAGAAATTGATTTATTAGTGTTGAAGTTGCTTTAATAAAGCATAAAATATAACAATAACTTCACTGCTATATGGGAGGAGCCTAAGAAGATAGTTAACAAAGCTGGCTGATGTACCTTGCCATCAGGGGCATGCAGCGCACAATGCTTCTTCTGCCAAATAGCCTCCCCCCAGTGCAGTTTTTATGGGATAGGAAATCTGAAATTTGTATCAGACCTTAACGCAACAGATCTCAAACAGGTAAGAGCATCTACCTCCCAACCATACCTGCTTTTTTGGCTCCCTGGGTAGCACTCGGTACAGTTTTCTCTTCCTTTGGCACCAATTTCTGCATGTCAGCCTGGCCAAATTCACAACCTGAAGGTAAACTGCAAGCATAGAAAGGTCAGATACTGCTACAAGTAGCATGCATCTAGCAGATGCCCTGGTTCTTTCACAACAGGAAAATATATATATATAGCAAGCAACTTGGAGCAATGGAATGAAGCACAAGAGTGCCACAGGGACCAAGGATCCTAGGCAATATCCCAGTTAGTACCCAACTACTGAGGGCTTAAAAGCTACTTTAGGCCATTTCCATTTCTATTTGGCCTCTTGTCATTTCCTTCCACACGATGAATAATTAAGCCTCAAATAACTTTGGACTAAATACTAAAAGTCTAGCTAAAGAAGCAGAAATGAAACTGTAAAGTGTTCTTAGAGGTGCTAAAAGGAACCATGAAATGGCTGTAGCTCAATTTAGCTATGGGTGAATTCTTCCTTGACCAACTGGCTCCAAGAAGGTGCGATGGATATGGGAGAGAAAGGGAAGATGAGCAAAGGGCTTCCACTTTGCCACATTCTGCAACACACCCTTGCGTGCACGCTACCCTAATTACTGAGAGTTTTTACTAAGGGAACTGCTGACACACTTGAATTGGTTCACTAAACTTATGGGCTTTGCTCTAGTGGTCTTGTGACCAAAATGTCCACTTATAAATAAGCACAGTTTCTCTATCCATCTCCAGTCCAGCAAATGTATACCACCAGCAAAGTATCACATGCCCATACCTGTTTGGCGTGCATAACGACAGCAGCACAGTGCTTTCCCATACCAGTGAACAGTACAGCTGGCTCAGCTTGCTCAGCACACTCAGACCCAACTGCGAACCCCACTGGTTTACTGAAATGGCTCTAATTTCACTCTGTAAATGGAAGAGAAAGTATGTTGCTGAACAGCTGAATTAGGCTTTGGTGACAATCAAGGAGCATTAAGGCCAAAAAAGAAATGAGCAAGGCAAAAAAGCAATTCTTACTTGTCCTACACGGCAGGTGTGCACAAACATCATGATGTAAGCATGGGCTGCTGTTAGGGCATGGAGTAAGGGTGTGGCCTGGGCAGAGAGAGTAGCATCAGCTACATTGCCAGCACATGCCAATTCCCGCAGCAGGACCGAACCACCAGGTTCCTCGATGGGCCGGTGCAAAGGCTCCAAGGAAGAGAGGATGGAATCCAGTTGAAGCAACCCTTCTTGCAACACTTTTGGCTCATGAGACAGTGTCTAGGATACAGAAAACAGAATAGTGCAATCCATCAAATCACCTGGATAATATGTAAGTCTCTGCCTCAAAACCACACACTGTACCAAACTCTAATCCATGATGTTCAGTTTAAACTCATGACTTATGGTTTACTACTAAACATCCATGAATGCTCTTTCTCAGAAAAATATTGCCTAGCCTTTGTAGATACTGTATTCATAGAGTGAACAAGTGGACATTCAGAATCAGTAATTTTTTTTTTTTTAAATGTTCTCTTGCTAACCACACTAACACTTCTCCATATTTGTTCACCATCTGGCTCACAATAACATTCAACCAACTTATGCCACATGCAAAAACAACAGTATAGAGGTCCACACCCCAACTCATCCACTATAGCAGGGATGAACACTCTGTTCTTCTCGGGTGTGGTGACCCAATATCCCATTTGGGGTGCCAGAAAACTAGAATGTTTATTTATTTATTTGACATTTCTAAGAATGTTGGTGGCTTACACAGAAAAAAGTAATTTAAAATATGAGTTACAAAAATAAAAACAGAATAGAAGAGTAAAACCAGAAATAAAATAAAGCTGGCACCATCAAATTAGGAAAGGGCTCTTTGAAAACACTGGTCTTCATTAGTTTTCAAAAAAGAAAAAAACTTATGGAGAGGGAGTTAATCTGTTCTCAACAAGAAGAATGTCAGTGTCAGTGTTACTACAAAAAACAGCACGTTCTCACTTCAGTCCCCAAAGTGTGGAATTTTACCCAAAATCTGATTAGTTTGGACCAACCAAAACAGATCAAAACTGGACCCACAAACTAATTGGCTACTAATGCAGGATTTCTAAAATCAATGTTATTCAGTCCTGACAGGGCCCCCCAAAATACATGTATTCTCGACCAACTGTAGTTTCTAAATACTCTTTAAAGGATTCCCCAAGTAGAGCATGTTACTGCAGTCTAATCAAGTAGTGGTGAGGGCATGAGTTAACTAAAATCTTCCTGTCCGAGGTAAGGCCGCAACTGAAGCACCAGCCAAAGTTGAGATAGGCCCCCTTGGCCACAGCTTTCATCCATTTATCTGGTAGGAGCTGTGAATCCTGAATGACCTCCAAGTAGAGAACCTACATCAAGAAGTAACTTGGGGGGGGGGGGGGCGGAAATCAGCCACCATAGATTCCCTGAAAATTTTAGTTAACTCATGCCCTCACCACTACTTGATTAGACTGCAGTAACATGCTCTACTTGGG